TGAGAACTTGGGAGACGATGTCCTCACTCCGCGGCGCGTCACGGTCACCACAAGGACGTCCCTTACTAGGAGCAAGGGCATCGCTACTAGGGGCTCCTGGCCTTACTACTAGGAACCAGAAGCTATTAGAAACAATAAATAAATAGAATTAGAATTAAAGTTATGTTAAATCTAATTAGAATTTAATTAGAAAGGGGGGGTAGGAGCAAGGACGCTACTAGGAACAAAGGGCATCGCTACTGGGGGCTCCTGGTCGGTTTTCTTGTGAAATCTCGTATAAGCAGAAGGACAAGGATATAGGTATGCAGCTCGTACAGTAACTAGTGGGCTGTGCCTGGAAATCAACAAACTCCATGATTTGTACGCGCTTTTGTGCCCATGTTGTCGGAAGTGTGAGGACCAAACCATTCTTTGGGGAGTACCTCTTGACAAAAACAAGAGCAACAGCCTTCATAGCAGCACAAATGTCAATCTTTCTACGTTTGCTTGCCAAACAAATTGATCGCAAAGCAAAATCCTTCACAAAGCAACATCAGCTGCACAGGTCACAAGGACGTAGAAACCGCAGAAACATGGCTTGCACAAGTAGAAACACGGACGAAGAACCTTGTAGACTGATTGGTCAAGACTCCATTAGAGGCCCCAGCGAAAGTAGAAGCCAAACTACTAGTAGCGTCCTTGTTCCCAGTAGTAAGGCCAGGAGCTCCTAGTAGCGTCCTTGCTCCTAGTAGCGATGCCCTTTGCTCCTACTAGCGTCCCAGCTCGAGCCCGACTCCAACAGTTCCTGGAGGTTGTTGCCTTTGAAGGGCAATTCCAACGAGAGCAGCTCGTAAAGCACCACGCCCATGGACCAAAGATCTGTGGATTGCGTGTAAGGACGCCCTGCCGCTGTGCACAAACGCCGTTCTTCACACTGGATGGATCCTTCATACGCAACTCATGTGGCCTCCAACCTCATAGCGATGGCCTCCAACTAAGAGCGAAGGCCTCCAACCTAGTAGCAATGGGTTTAACAATTCAGTTCGAAATCAAGATGAAAATTGAGCCGACAGTATTGGCCGTCGTGCAATTCTCTGAAGATTCTGTGCACAGTTTGGATCATCAAAATCAGTCGAGGATTGCCAACATCGGAGCTCAAGACGCTCAAGTTATTCACTTTGGCAACACACCGACTTCCGACAGAATCCCTGCAAGTTGGAAAGATAGACAACTCACTTGTTTTTTCGCCGTACGGAATCTATCGTTGATCTGTCGCCTAGTCCATCCTGTCACCTAAGCTGCGGGGTCGCCTTCGATCAACTCAGGCGACAGGTACAGCGGCGTGCCGTAGAAGGACTGCAGTTGCCTCAAAGGCACACAGGGGACACATCTCCAAACTCTAAGGACGCATCCAGGAATGTATCTTTATAGCCAGATAACTTACAACTAAAGTAACTATGGGATTGGAGGCCATTGCTATTAGGAGCAAGGAAGCTACTAGGGGCTCCTGGCCTTACTACTAGGAGCAAGGACGCTATTAGGTTGGAAAAAATCAACATCTCCTCTCAAGTCGTGACGACTGTCCAAGGTGCATAGTATGCTCCGACATCTGGCGGCTTACACCAAAATCACCCAGTTTGATGACACCCTTGTCATTCAAGAGAAGGTTCATGGTCCTAGGTGGCCAGAGCCAGTGCATTGAGCTTGAAAAGTTGCAAAGTGGATGGTTGATTGGTCCTCCCAGCTACCGGCTGCAAGCTGCGAACGTCTGCCTCTGTGAAAGAACGATGTGCCGAGGCTCTTCAGGTCGCGATGCACGATGCCACGAGCGTGGATGTGGCGCAAACCCAACAGCACCTGCGCCAAGATGTCCCACACCTGTCTGCTGCAAGGCCTTTGGCAACCTTTTGGGACTTGCAGTTGGACGATTTGTTTCACAAGGTGTTTCTGGGTGCTTTCCGTTTCACTGATCACCGTTGCTAGCAATGTCCAGAGCGGTCTTGATGAGAAGTGATGTGTTGCCCATGATTCGAAGGATTCGACAGAAGCATCGCGCTTTGTAGGGCCGCCTCTTCGTTCCCAAAGTGCTTCCCGAGGCGCTTCCGATTCCTTCGGAAAAGAAACCGAAGGAATTCACTTAAAATATTATGCCAGCATAGACCGCAAGCAGTTTCAACATGTTTCGACATGTTTGTTGGCCAATGTTGGTGGCAACGTCTGTATTGGAAATGGCATGTAAACAAAAACATGTTATAAAACATTTATAGTTCCTGTTGCCCGAAGTCACTTGTGCAAACACGAAGGGACAATTATTATATATATATATATATCTATCTATTGCATGAGAAAATCCGAGGATGTTATCAAACGCTGCATCGCTCTTGCATTCATAGCCACACGAAAACGGTGTGAGGACAGCAGGATGAGAAAAGGTGCCAGCGTGGCCAAAGGACAGGAAGAGAAGAGGAGGCAAAGGACAACAGGACACCTGGACACGGGGTGACACGGGGCGCGGCCAGTCGAAGCATCAGCTTTAGTGCTTGCAGAGCATCTGTAGTTCAGAGTGAAGATCTCCTCGATTAGCATATTCGAGAACCTAGGGGAATGAATCGGATCTCTTGACACGAAACCAACTGCGTCCACTCATGAGATGGCACAGCACTCGCGACGTCCACCAAAAGGACATGTATTTAATTGCTTCTAGGTTGGAGGCCATCGCTAGGAGGTTGGAGGCCATCGCTATTGGAAAGAAAGAAAAGAGAAAAGGAAGAAAGGTTTAATATAGTTTGCACGTAGGTTGGAGGAACTTGTCAGCAAGTCTACACCGCACACCCAGAATATCCCATATGCACACCAAGATGCAATGTACAACGACTGCGTCGGATAGTCCCAGAAGTACCCATAACATCGAATAATATTTGGATGGCTCAGCTTTTTCATGACCTGAAGGGGGTCTGCGTGGTTTCATCGACCAAAAAGCTTTTGGTCAACAAGAAATTCAAAGACCTTTCGAAACTTCTCTGAAATGTCACTGCTTCGGCCTCGAACTCGTTCAGCATGTCTTTGGCCTTGCCAAGCTCTGCAACTTTGCCTAAGCGGGAAAGTGGATAAGGTCAAGAGCCTGTAGGGAAGCGAAGTTCAAGACCTAAAATAACTCTTGCTTAGAATGTTTTCTAGCACAAAGAAGAACAGGACATAAAATAACTCAGAAAGGCTCAGAAAGGTCCAAACGAATAAAGAAACGGAAAGAAGAGAATTGAAGAGAGAAAGCAATGCGAGAGGGCTTGTGCGTGGTGGGGAGGGAGGAGTGAAGTCCAAGACCGAAGACCTGGGTTTTTTAGACAGCACGTTGTTCCTCAAATCGGCCTTTCCTCTATTTCTTTGATGTCTTTCGCGTGGCTTTTCTTTCTTCGAAATTTTGACACTTTAGAGACACCTTTCGTGACACCTTTAAAGACGGTTCATGAAGTTTCCCTAAAATCGAACCAAATGAATAGTAACAAGTGCCACGCTAGTAGTAACAGGTGCCTTACTAGTAGTAACAAAGAAGCTATTAGAATTAATTTAAGTGCGAGCGCTTCTTCAGCTCCCCCCCGCCCTCCGTCCTAGGTAGCTACTTGTTAGCTACTAGCTACCATTTGCTTCTATCTACCTCTAGCTACCTACCACCCTCTCGGCCGGCCTACCCCCCCAAAAAAAGAATAGAACTGTTTCATTCATTGTTCGTTTCTTTCGCTTTTCGCTGTCATGAGTCGTGTCTTCAGGACGACTTCAGAGACCAGTGAGGTGGGTGCTTTGATCTTCGCCAAATGCACCGAGCCAGTCGGGCTGCTGTGTAGATCTCGAACGATCTGCGGGAGCTCAGTTCTTCGAAAGATATAAAAATGAAAAACATTGAGAAACATGTTTTAAACAAAAATGTTTTAAAAAACATTGCTTCTTTGGCATTTTTCGGCATTCGCCCCACAGAGTCAATTTAGGAACAAGTCCTGGAATTGCCCAGGATGGCTGAAGTCTCCCACACTGGAGGGCCGCCCTTGCAACTTCTCCTCCGCCTGCAAACGTCAGTATCAAGTCAAAACACTGAGTCATGGCCATGATACGTGATTCTGAATTGCGGCCATGAGGTAAGGGAAGAGAAAGGAAAAAGAATTGAAAAGGACATGAAAAAAGAGGACCAATGAAGGGTAGGTACGCGGGGTAAGGTGCATGATGCCCCCGATACCAACCATATGCACCCATAAACCCCAATCCTAAATCATTCTCACAATCCTAAGGACCTGAGCCACCTTCAGTTGGCCTACGTGCTCCTAGTAGCGTCCGTGCTCCTAGTAGTAAGGCCAGGAGCCCCTAGTAGCGTCCTTTGCCCCTAGTAGCGATGCCCTTTGCCTTGGTCATGGCGACCTCCCGGTGCGCCATCGCAGTTAGCCATGGGGCGGAGCCGCTTGGAATTCGAATGTGCGGTGCCCGAGCGCTTGAAACCGAGCGGTTTCCGAGTGGTTTCCGAAGACATGTGCTCGTGCCGTCAAAAAAACAAAACGGTTGTTGCACGAACAGCTTGCGATAGGATCAAAATGGGTTCAATATGCAAGTACGGTCCAAACTCGTTTCACTCCCCCAATCTGACTTGAGAGCAAACCTCGTTTGAGTAGGAAAGAGTTGGATCACTGCCACCACAACTCCCTCATGCGACTCTTGGAATGAGGAATTTTATAGAATTTTCATGTCCTGCCTCTACGAGCCAAAATCCTACGGCAGCACCCCAAAGAAAACGGTAGTGCGGTAGCCTACACCATTTAAAATATGCTAGTAACAAGAAGCTACTAGGGGCACCTGGCCATACTACTAGGAGCAAGGACGCTACTAGGGGCTCCTGGCATCGCTACTTGGAGCTTTCTTACTGCTAGTAACAAGAAGCTCTTCACAATTTCCCACGTGTCTTTTTTTTGGCCTTTCAAATAGCAACCGAGAACGCAAGTGACCCTTCAAAGGGGCAAGCTCTGGTACTGAGATTCCCTGACGATCGATGGCTGTGTCGACAAAAAAGCCAGGTTCGCACTTCAAACACCTGGTGACCATGAGATTCACAAACAGATTCGACGATTTCTTTGAGAAATCCAAATATAAGACGTCCGTCCTCCTCCTATGGTTGGTCCGTCTGTCGAGCCTCTGTTGCGGAACGACTTCGCACTCCACACATCGAGGATCCACAATGATGGCACAGTCGGGGACGGTACATTGGGCCGCGTTGGAGGAGTTGTATGCACCTCGACAGCTCTGGCTTAACATGTGTTCAATTGACAGCTTTCTTTCGCTCAGGCTGAACGCTCTTTGGTCTTTCTGAAGTACTGCTAGATTGCTAGATGCGCTTGCTTGCTCAGGACGTCAAAGTCCTCACAACTTCAATCAAATACGCTCTTACACTCTCTGAAGGGGTGTGCGCACGCTTGAATCAGTCCCCTTTTGCGCCAAAAAATCTGCTTTCCTGCCATGGCACGATCCCAGAAGGAGAGGAAGGAGATCCGAGAGTCTGCCTGTGCCACTGTGGAACATATGCGGCGGAAGGACATAACGTCACTTATTTACCCTCTTTTCCTCAAGCTCTTATCTACACCCTTTCCTTTCCCAGGAAACCGCGAAACCATTTCAGCATGTCTGATGTGAAATGGAAGCTGAGCTGGATCTAGAGAAAACCAGCGACACTAAGCTTGAGGTGTGTATATAATCCCCTGTACGACAACCCCGGGGGTGGCATTGTGTATCTACAAATGCCTCACCCCAGGTCCAAACCAACCAATCCATCCATAAAGTCAAGCCCCCCAAGATAGAAACCTTAAGTCTATAATATTGGGTTGGGGGTTGGCCTGAGTGGGCTCACATATTTTTTCAGAAAAGTGAGCTCTCCATAAAATCAACCCCTCCAAGAAAGATGCTTAAACAACCATCTCTACAAAATGGCTTCTAACCCTCTACAAAATTATGGTGGGTGGGTGCGCATGCTCGAGTTAGCGCAAAGATTTAACAAAAGAATGCCGCTTCTATAAAATGATATTTAAAAAAATGTACCCTGCCTTGCAAATCATGTGTTTGCTAAACATGCTCAAAATTTACCCTGATCACTCTACAAATCAGGAACACCCAGGACAATCATTCCATAGAAAACCAACATGTTCTCTACAAAACGGTCGTTTCCAATACAGGGGTTGACCCAATTTGTAGAGAAAATTTAACAGGGGATTGTATATATATATATATAGCAGATCTGTGCATATCAATTACCAAGTGAAAGAAGCATTCCCAATGCGAGTCGTTGCGCCTTCACATAGCTTCCGGCTGTCTCTTGTGAGATGTCTTGGCCAGGCGACCAGAACCTCGCTAAGCGTTTGCCAACAATCACACCTTGAAAGGGTTTTATGATTCTCGCTTGAATGACCGCAACATGTGTGCCAGCCTCTCCTGACATTGACATGGAGGCCATCGCTACTAGGGTGGAGGCCATCGCTATTAGGCTGGAGCCCATGGCTTTCAATAAAGACTCCTGGTGCAACAGCTTGCTCTTCCCCAGCTTGCCCTTCTTGATTCTTGCCCTTAAGCCCGGCCACGGAAGGATGTCGTAGCCGGTCTGGTTGATGGGCCGATACTCCTCACCAGCCATGGGCATAAGAGGCTCGCGAACTTGAGACATCTCTTCAGAACTTGGATAAAATTCAATTGGAAAAGACCCTTTCACTGCTTCACAATTCACACCAAAACACGTTCATCCATCAATTCAAGCAAAATCCTTCCATCCGGGTTCGCATTCACATTCGAACGGCTCCACACAGGTGCCATGCACACACCTCGAGGGATAGACCAGGCGAATGATAAATACAATACACTCAAGCAAAGGGCACAGAAAGCATGAGTTCGAAGACTAGTATATCGACAAATATGTTCTGGCGCGGCAGAACCCCATGAAAGGCCAAAAGTGCTATCTTGAAAGCTCCTAGGTGTGGCACTCTGGCGAAGGTAACGGCCAACTCTGACACAACGGGTAGTCACCTGAGATTCTCTAGATCGTCTGTTGCACCGATTGTACGTAATTATATTTCACCAGTTGAAGCAAGAAAGTCCTACTAGTAGCGTCCTCGCTCCTAGTAGCGATGCCCTTTGTTCCTAGTAGCGTCCTTGCTCCTAGCAGTCGCCTTTCGTCCCCAATACTGTTTCAGTGCAAGTGACACAACCGACCACCCCATCCAGCGGCACAGCGGCAAATGTCAGGAGCCACCGCCTCAGCTGTGAGCTATTCTATTTCAATACGAGCTCATCAACATGCGAAAGGAAAATAAGAGCGAAGGCCTCCAACCTAGTAGCGATGGCCTCCAACCCAAGAGCGATGGCCTCCACCCTAGTAGCGATGGAAGCGATGGCCGTCCTCCCAAGAGAATTCAAGAGTTTTTGCCCTCCAAAATTGCCGTGCTCCACGGCAGATTCATCCGCGCAGTGTCCGAATATCAAGGAAGTTTCGAAGAGACAAACACGGGGTAACAGTCCGTAACAGTTGGCTCGAAAAGATCTAACTCGATACCTGGTGTCCAAGAACTGCTCCATGAGACAGGGCAGCTAGGCGCCAGACATCACCATTCACGCAGGCAGGCTCTGACAGTGGCAGCTCGCAGGAGGTGCCTGGAAATGCTGCTGCACTGCAACCTAATAGCAATGGCCTCCAAAAACAAAAATAGAAAGAAAAAAGTTTAAAAAAGATAGCAATAATAATAACAACAATATGTTTAAAAACAAATAGACTACTGTTGTAGCAATAAACAGCAACATTTCGTCAAAGTTTGCTAAGACAGACTCAGCCAGCCTCCCCAGCCATAAAAGCACTCGCAGGTGTTGGGCAACACGCAGGTACCCTGCCTGGAATCTCGCTTTAGATTGACTCGGCTGACCAATCCCTTTGTCAAAAAAGGCTTTGACAGTACAGCCATGATCTGCCGAGACACCCAGGAATGCATTCGGGCTCACAAACAGCATGCTGGCAAGCAGCACCTTTCCAGCCTACAAACGGGCTGAGTGGTCTGATTTACAAGTGATCTTTGTTGATACAAAACTGCTTGGGAATGCACCGCAAAGCCTCTCCACCGTTACAAGCATGCGGAGTGCACAACTCACACGCACAACTCACACAACCTTGTTCGAAAGAACCTTTGCTCCCTCTCTTTGCTCCCTCTCTTGCCTTGTTCGCAGTGGCACAAGTCCGGCGCCACACATTTGCCATGCTGGCATGAGGGCCAACAAAGAGGGTTCCGGCATCGCCACCCACCCCAGCCTGTCAAGTCCATGCTCATGCTGCTGAATTGCCCTCTGACAGTTGACTTCATAGTTAGATGCCAAACGAGTCTCTCGTTTATTAGCCCATCTTTCATCTCGAGTCTCTCGGGGCCTGGATCACAGGAGCAACAGCCACCTGTCCGAAGACAAGCTGCAGACCACTTTTGTTGCCTTTGTGGCCTTCATGCAGTATGTGTCCTGATGAATTCAATGAACTGTAAGGATCCACTGGTCCTCATCAAACGCTACCTCTCCTCTTTCACCGTTGGCACTCTGGTCTGGGATGCAAATCTTGACTTATTTTCGAGAACGACCAAAGTGGTCTTGATGGTCTTCGCTACTCAGCCGGAACGGATTGCGTCCGGAACATAACAAACATCCAACAGGCCTTTAGCAGCGCGCGTCTCCTGCGGACCCGGATGTTGAGCTATCATATTGCAGCACCATACCGTATCAAATCATATCTTCAGATCAGCTAGTAGGTTGGACGCCATCCTTAGTAGGTTGGAGGCCATCACTACTAGGGTGCAGGCCATCGCTACTAGGGTGGAGGCCATCGCTTTTAGGCTGGAGGCCATCTCTACCAGGCTGGATGCCATTGCTAGTAGGTTGGAGGCCACGGCAAGTAGGTTGGAGGTTGGAAGCCATTGCTAGTAGGTTGCAGGCCATTGCTAGTAGACTGGAGGCCATCGCTTCTAGGTTGGAGGCCATAATTAGTAGGTTGGGAGGCCATCACTAGTAGGTTGGAGGCCATCGCTTCCAGGTTGGAGGCCATCCCTAGTAGGTTGGAGGCCATTGCTAGTAGATTGGAGGCCATCGCTTCTAGGTTGGAGGCCATTGCTAGTAGGTTGGAGGCCGTCGCTAGTAGGTTGGGAGGCCGTTGCTAGTACATTCAGAGAGCCTTTCCACTAAACTCTCCCTTTCCACTCCTGCAAGCATTTCACCATGAAAGGGAAGCAGGGCTCATCGTTGTCGGTTTGACTAGATGCACACCTGAGCGACCGCACTTGGAGACAAATCGGCGGAACACTTACTCTCGTTCTCTTCTTTAAGCCTTTGTCTTTTCTTTATGCCTTTGGACCTGCTCGTTGTTGGTTCTTTGTTTCTAGTAGCGATGGCCTCAAACCTAGTAGCAATGGCCTCCATCCTAGTAGCGATGGCCTCCACCCTAGTAGCAAACTATATTAGACCTTGTTTCCTTGTCTTTTTCTTTGTTTGCTTTAGACCTGTCTTTCTTTTTTCTTAGACCTCTCCCAAGTGGATTCCACCCAGAATTAGGATCTTGCGCTTTCCGAAAGCACAAGTTGTGCATTCGACCCATGATAAGTTGCCACTGGGTTAAGGCCTCATCTTGCGAATGTTACAGTAGATGCCCTAGGCAGTCTGCATATAAAATGCCATCACAGATTCTTGACAAGAGACAACCCTGGCCCTCTGCCTTCAAACTATAGAGATGCCAAAGGAGATACACCAGCCTTCTGCTTCGTTCAAAACGTTAGTTTTCACCAAAGGCACTTGTCGTAGATCTGAGTCAAAGAAGGAAGCACCTGCACGCGACAAAAAGAACTACAAACAGACCTGTTTGACACCATCCAGGAGTGTCTTTGATGCGTAGCAAAAGGAACACATTGCGATGTCGGCACCTCTGGATTGGTGTCAATGAAGCCATTTTCGATGGCCTCCGTGCAACACATCCGACTGAAGCAGTCATCCTGCACAGGCGCTTTCTAAAGGCCAAGAGGCCTACCTTAACCTACTCGCGATGGCCTCCACGCTAGTAGCAATGGCCTCCAACCTAATAGCGATGGCCTCAACCTATTAGCGATGGCCTCCAACCCACTAGCGATGA